CTTTTGCTTTTTTTTTTTTTTCCCTTTCTACATTCTACGCAAGGGGAGAATATTTTGTCTCAAGTTTACTCTCCTTCATTATCAGCCCCAGGCAACATGGACAGTGTTACACACTAAAAAGATGAAGAGAGCGAGAGTGCTAAAAGAAAAAAGAAAAAGAAAAGTATACCACCTGACCTCGAGAGCTGAACAAAATAAATAGAAAATAAACAATAATAATAATAATAAAAGAAACAACCTAATAAAACCAATACATGTCAAAAGTCCCCCAAATCCTTCGGGGCCAAGAACCATAGCACCGGGTTCCCGATTATAGCGCCAAATGGAGTTTAGGTGTAGATCCTCGATCGTCGATCATACTATATGGCTTTAGGGCTTAAATGTTTTATATTTTACACTTGAGATTTGAGATTTGGGGCTATATTTTGACTCTATGCCCGGAAAAAGCCCTTTCTTGTTTCCCCCTTGGTGTTTCCCTTTTTTTTCCCTTATACTATCCACTCTTATACCATTATACCCTTCTATATACTATATTAGACCCATTCAAGGACTGGACTATACATACACTTGATCTATCTATCTTACTCTTGTGAAGTCTTTTCGATCAGCTCATCTTGTTCTTTTCGGATCCATCACTCCAATATCTCTCTATCTAACTACCTGACTTCGCCCTTTCCTGCCTAATTACATATAATTCTGGTTTTTTGCCCCCTTCTTTCTTCTCCTACTATTGTTTCCCTTTAATTTTTATTCCATTTCAATTATTGTGTTGATTTATTTTCTCTGTTGCTTAAATCTGTGTCGCGGGCTGCGTCAGAGGACAAGATTTGAATATCTACTTGAACCGCAAGGATCACGTCTCATCCTTTTCTTTTCTCACTCTCTCCCCCACCCCCAACAAGGGAAAGACTTCATCTGTGGAAAGAGATTCCTGGAATCCCAAAAATCATCCAAGCTGGCATCCTACGCAAGCCCACCGCTGTCCCCCAAGCATTGGGCTGAGCTTGATCTGCACCGATCCTGGGACAACCTCATGGATGGCGATCGACGTATGAAGCAGAATGAAAGGTCAATGTCTCGGTCTGGAAATGCCGCTCGCAGAGCACCTGGTCGTGCGACAGATGGTTTTGACCCGGCCATACAACCACGTGGAGACCAAACGGGGATGTCGCAACCCCCGGAGCAAGTCCCAATGTCCTACGACTACGGATACACAGGCAGCTCCTTCCACGGCGGTTCCCTGCAGTCAAGCGACTTACAGAACTATCAATCCCAGGACTATGTCCGGGCTCAACGACCTCAACATGCGCCGGCTATACAACATCAGCGACGGCGCGCGCCACCTCAGGATCCGGCTGCATTCTCACCTTACGATTCTACCATGCTGTACGGGTTCAGTCAGCAAGGCCAAGCCCAAGCACACTTCGAGGTTGTGCCACAGTACCAGACACGGCAGTCTGCAGCTATTGATGTCCTGTCGAACCAATTTGCCGTTCCACAGTATTTTGCGCCAGAGGAATCTGCAGGGTCTGGGGTTGGACTTTCGCCTTATCTAAATGCGCAACTCCAGCCTTATAACCAAGGCCCCATGGCACGCCCGAACACCACCCAGTCTTTTCCTGCACCCATATCTGATTTCACTGCAATCGGTTCCGGGTCCATGAACCGATTGGATCAGCCCCAAACAGAGTCCCAGCAACAGCAGTCGGATCAGCCCAGCCTGGAGGAGGCCATCGGACGATACCAACGCATCCTGCACCGCACTTTTGATCAAACGCGAGCCGGAAGATTGGTAGAGGCTGGAGGATCGCTACTCGAAATTTCCGAATGGCTTGTGGCCAATGCACGGGATCTTGGTAAGATGCAGTCTTTCGCAGCATGATTTCTCATTGTTTCTTTTTCCTTTGTCCCCATTGGAGAAGACAGAAGAACAAGTGTCCACGGTTTACTAGGAGGGCGCTTGCCCAGTAGCACAGAAGTCGCACTCCCAACTGGACCCTTCTTTTTCTTGTTCTTTTTACCCCTAATGTTTGTCTTGGGGTCTGCAGGCGCACGTCATGCAATCATCATAGGACACCTTGGAGGTCTACAGTGAGAGAGGCTAATCCTTCTTGTTTGATACGTAGGCCTCCTCCATGACGACAGCATCCAGTACCCCGACCGTCTGAAGCTATGGAGCGAATTCAATCTATGTTGGCTAGCCATCTGTCAAAAGCAAAAGGACCTGGTGCTGGAAGTGATTGCGACAAGTCAACAACCGGCGCATACGAGTCTAATTCGACGAGACCGCATGGAGAATATGGGAAGGGACCTGATTCAGCTTTGCGATCAGCTTGAACCCCACGGGCTAGTGGATTATCAAATGGGCATATGGGAAGAAGAGATACTGTCCGGTGAGTTTGCGCTACACTCAGATACACCTATATTACCTCCTAATCATATCAAACCCAGTTTTGGGTCAATGCCTTGACCTCATGGACAGTAGGCCCGACCTCAACCACATCCCTGCTAGACCCGAAGCCACGGCAGTACCACGACCATGAATCAAGTCCCAAGGAGGAAACAGAACAAGAGCAAAAAAGCGAAAGAGAAAACCGCCAAAAAAAACAACAACACCCCAAGCGTCACATCAATTTGGGTCCACTCCTAAATAAGAAAGACATGACTGCGCCATGACGATCGGAGACTATACTCCGTACGCACTGACCCAATATCACCCAAGCGCTGCCGCCACGGGGAAGCTATTGCTTACTAGCGTCGCGCCAACCCCGATGTTGATATTTGACATCGCGAAGAGGTAACATGTCACCTTTCACCTCGTTGGGCACCAATCAATCTCCCATTGGCTCATGAGAGATCGACTGGCCCCCTCCTTCCGTCTTCGGTCAACGGTCTTCCGTTCCCCTCTCAAGAGGGCGATCATTTGCCGGGTCAATCTTGGCCATAAGCGCTTGATCCTTCCAAATTATACCTATCGCCTGTCTAACTTGGGCTAACAAGGTGGCTGTGCGAAATACGGAGTATATTGTCACACCTTCTCATCATTCACCATCACCATTTCCACTATCACCTCATCACTCGCCATCCACCACGGCCACTATCACAATCGTCACAATCTTCACTTCCCCGCTCAACATATCCTAATGACGAATTTGACGAGTTGTACATAGTCCCATGTCTTCTGTGTGTGGGTGGTTCTCTTTGGCTTCTGTTGTTCCCTATCATCTCTACCTTCCATCTCCTATCACCATCTCTATTCTTTGTATTGAATCGATCTGAACTGGCTTTGCATTGGGCGTGGGCAAACCAAAAAGGGCAAGGGGCATCTGGCGCAAGAATGGAATGGGACCTTTGTGTTCCCGTTTTAAAATTGGGCTTGGGCTTGGGTATTGGGGTCGTTTCATTTCATTTCTCTTTGCACTGCTGAGTGGTCTATGCTCCTTGTCGCTTCGGTATGTGATATACCAGGTTCATCTTGGCTTTCGGCATTTTGAATTAGTATCTCGCTAGCATACCCTTCCAAGGATGGGATCTGAGACGGAGTCCCGAGGTCGATCTATTTGATATCAAATATCAACCTTTCACTGTTAGGATTTGGCGTTTGGGACCCTAGGAAGCTACATTGAGGGTAAAATTGGTAGTGCTTGTTCAATCTGTAGGTGTAGAGCTCAATCGGCCTTCATGCCCTAATTGGCGCGTGATAGTCGGGTACCATGTTCATCCTGCTGCTACCACATATGTGCCGTCAGATTTGGGTCTAAAATGTTCCGGATAACTAAACGTGGCGTCCGACCTCATTTTCATCCTTAATATCTTTTTCCGTGACCGTTCTCAGCATGCGAAGAAGCTCCCAGACCAAAGAGGACAAAGTACAAGATGGACTTCACCCACGACCACACTAGTTACCATGTATTCAGTGAAATTAGAACTGGGCCTCGAAATGGATGTACAACACGCTGATCTAATAATTCAACTCAAAATCAATGTAAACCTTAGAATGGATGCCCCAGATGTATTGAGAGTACAGGATATAAAACAAGTCGCGGACTCGGGGTGCCGTGGTGGAATAATACAGTATTGAAACAAAAAGGAAATTGGAAATGCTCGAGTTATCTCGCTGGCCACTTTAGCGCTTGACCCAGGTAGGCATCTTGCGGGCCTTGACGTGACCGGGCTTCTTTCTCTCGACGCGACGGGCGTCGACTGTGATGGCACCGGCTTTAAAGAAATTGAAGTTAGCAACTGCGGCAAGAATGGAACGAGACATAAAAAAGCAAGAACATACCCTTCCTCAGAACCGGCTTCAACCCAGGCTCGTGCAACAGCAAAGCCCTACCAAGAGCCAACGTAATTGCCTCAGCCTGACCAGTAACACCACCACCCCGCACCCGAATCCAAGCATTATACTTATCCAAGCGCTGCGTACATCTAAGCGCCCAGAGCGCACTCTCACGATCATGAACCCGCTTGAACGTTTCCACCAGACTCTTCCCGTTAACCAGCACCTCACCCTCACCCTCAACAAGCTGCACAACAGCCGTAGACTCCTTCCTCTTTCCCTTCCCGCGAGCACGCCCATTCTCATCCACCGTCCGGGGCACATTCTCCACCGCATACGGGTTACCAGGACGCAAGAACGCGCTAAGAGTATTGCGCACCTCATCCGGCACCATATCGGGCTGGATGCGGTTCAGTCGCTGAAGGATCTTTACCAGGGACTTGTATTTCTTCATGGGAACGGGCTCGCCCACGTAGTCGCGGAACTGTGCCAGCTTGAACCACGCCATGCGTGGTGCCTCGCTGGTGGCCACTATAGGGAGTGAGGCATGCTTCGCTTGCAGAGCTTCCAGCTGCAGGACGTGGTCGGTGAACCGCGGGCTGCCGGAGAAGTAGGATGGGGAGGAGGGGATGATGCGGGCGGGCTTTTGGCTGAAGGAGCCGAAGTTGATTTCTGGGGCGGCGGCCGCGGGGTCGGATTCGGCTTCTGTTGCGTAGGTGCGTGTGCGGAGGGTGTTGAGGGTTGTTCGGGAAGCTTGAGTTGAAGGTTTTGTGAGTGTCGAGGTTAGGCGGAGGGATTGCATCGCCTGTACGAGGCTGCTGGGTTTGTGCCACGCCATGGCTGGTGGAATTGGCGGGGAATTCGGGGCTGGAACTCGGATCTGAGGTCCTGGATGGAGGCCGTTGACGGTCTCCGAGTGTCATGTTTTTTGTTGGGTCATGTGACACCCGGCAACATCAGTTCCTCCGGACACCGAAGTCGTCCCGCCAGCACAAAATTCTTGTTCGCCCCTCTCCTTTCTCTTCTTTCTTTCTTTTCTCTCTCTTCATCTTCCACACATTACATTCAAGATGGCCTTCGGAAAGCTTTACGGTCTGCCTGTATGTTTAAATATTCATCTCTGTTGATTTGATTCAATGTCTTAACATTCTCTAGGACAACGGTCGCACCATCTCCATCCTGGTCGCTGCTAAGCACAACGACCTCGAGTTGGAGCTGGTTAACACCCAGGCTAACTCTGCCGCTGAATTCAACACCAGCGCTGAGTACCTCAAGATCAACCCCACTGGCAAGATCCCCGCCTTCGAGGGTGCCAATGGCTTCACTCTTTCTGAGACCATTGCCATTGCCGTCTATGGTATGTGAACATTTCCTTCGATACATTCCAACACACCACTCGATCCATTTTTATGCCTCTCTTCTTTATGATGAGATACATTAGTTATCCCTGTCAGATTATAACACTTGTTATATTAACTGTTGAGAAAAAATACCTCTGAAAAAAAAAATATTGGCTACCCCGCTCTGCGGGAAAATTTGGACTCGACCACCCCCTTTTTTTTGCATTGGACACATGGTGCCATTGGCACATCTGATTGCTCCATTGTTGAACCCAATTGAGTTTCAAAGCAACTTGACTAACATGTCCTGTTCATAGTCACCTCCCAGAACGAGAAGACCACCCTCCTCGGCAAGACCAAGCAGGATTACGCTTCCATCCTGCGCTGGTTGTCCTTCGCCAACGCTGAGGTCCTGCCCAAGTTCGGTGCCTGGTACCGCCCCCTGCTGGGTCTCGACGGTTACAACAAGAAGACTGTTGATGAGGCCGCCAAGGCTGCCCTGAAGGTCATCACTGCCTTCGAGACTCACCTCACTGCCAACACCTACCTTGTTGGTGAGCGTATCACCCTGGCCGATATCTTCGCTGCCTCTCTCCTTACCCGCCCCTTCGCCACTGTCCTTGACAAGACCTGGCGCGAGGCCAACCCCGCCACCACCCGGTGGTACAATACCATTATCAACCAGGACGCCTTCAAGGCTGTTGTCCCCAGTCCCCAGTTCACTGAGGAGGTGATCAAGTACACCCCCCCTAAGAAGGAGCCCAAGCCCAAGGCCGCTGCCCCCGCTGCTGCTGCCGCCCCTGCCGAGGCCCCGGCCGCTGAGGCCCCCAAGCCCAAGCACCCCCTTGAGGCTCTTGGCAAGCCTACTCTCATCCTTGATGACTGGAAGCGCAAGTTCTCCAACGAGGACGTCCGCACCGTTGCCATGCCCTGGTTCTGGGAGCAGTTCAAGGCCGATGAGTACTCTCTCTGGAAGGTCAACTACCGTTACAACAACGAGCTCAAGCTCACCTTTATGGCCAACAACTTGATCGGTGGCTTCCAGGCCCGTCTTGAAGCTTCCCGCAAGTACCTCTTCGGTGCCCAGTCCGTGTACGGCGAGAACTACGACTGTGTCGTCTACGGTGCCTTCATGGTCCGTGGCCAGGAGTGGGAGCCCGCTTTCACTGTCGGCCCCGACTACGAGGGTTACGAGTTCACCAAGCTCGACCCCTCCAACGAGGCTGACCGCAAGCTCGTCGAGGACATGTGGGCCCAGGACGTTCCTGTCACCGTCGACGGCAAGGTCAAGGAGTGGACCGACGGCCACGTCTTCAAATAAGCGTGTTCGCCCCAACACACCCTCCCCGTCTCCTATAAAATTTCATCCCCCAATACCCGATGGACGTGCTGTGCATGAAGACATCGTATGCCTCATGTCCATTCTCTTCTTTCCTCTGCCTGAAATCTTTTGGGTTTTTCCAAATATCTTGACCTCTGGTCTTACGTGTTGATGTTGAATCACGGTTATGAATACGTTGCGACGCGGAATGATGATCGACTGAGCTGGCTAGGGTTTTGCTATTATGACAATCCCAGCTGGTCAGGAACGCTGCTAGTTTAGCTCTAGCAATGAAAGAACAGAGACAGTTCTCTGATTTCTTGAGTGCATATTTATTTTCCTGTGTAGTCCTTTCTAAGTTGTCACGTAGTATCTTGTGGAAATAGCTCTTGGAACATATCAAGCTTCTGCGAAATGTGTGCTTTAACAGGATATGTGGCTACCTTCACTTGTCCTTGGAATCAATTGCTCCAAGGCGACTATTCTTTTCGGGGCCGATCGATATCTGGTCGGGCGGCATGCCTGGTTGGCTTGGAGACATCACTGCTATCTTTGCTTCTTTTCTTTTGCTTTTTCTGATGGTCAACGTGTGCTCTTTGGGTAGCGATAACCGCTTATCATTTTCTTTGAGCGTGATCTCTACTAGTTTGGTGTCTTTGGTTGAGTAACTGGGTCCCATGTCCGTGTAGAAATTGTCGAATTACGAATCGAAATGATATCCTACGAACATCTTGCTTCAATTATAGATTTCATTCGGGGTAAATGATAGGTAACTATATATATTATAAGTTGTGATACGTCCTTCATCAAGGTCTTAACAAAGAGTAAATCTACTAAGCTTAATCGGGACTTAAAAGCACCTTTACTTCTATATAATGGATAACCTAATCTAAACTATTCTTCTTCCTGACATATTCCCAGTTTGCCAGTCTCTTATATTCTATTCTATTCATTTTCTTTCAATGTCCTTCACCATGTTCGAATCAGGTCTTCCGCCCGGTCCAGTTGTTTTCACTCAAGAACAGATAGAATGTCTTGAGGAGGCCGCAATCTTCCCACCCGAGTCAGTCAGCCAAATGCATCGAAGAGAAAAGTTTCTACGGCATTCAGTGCATCCAGGTCCGTCTCCAATGCATGTCATGGCTTGTTCACGGGTGATACACAAAGGCCTGGCAGACCTCTGGTTCTCTTCGGTGCCGGCTGACAAGCGATGGTGATGTGAGTGAAATCTGAGAGTAATGTCAATGATCTTTGACTAACATGCAACATCACAGACTCCATAATGATATACATTTTTAAGAAGCCAGGACATTCCATTCCAGGCTGCGAGGCCCAAGAGTGGCCATTTGACCACGCGATTGTGGTAAGTTCTCTGACATACCAGTTGAGATTGTTTCTAACCAGTTATTACTAAATAGGCCCAGTTTGCACATTAATCGCATTCATGTTCCTTGGTTCTTCTTCCTGGTCTTTTTGCCAGAGCGCCTTAACCAACCTTCGACTTGGAAGTTCGAGGCTCTGATCTTGTTCATTCTTCGTGGCAGGAATGAGTGTCGTGCCTCCTCGAGTACCGCTCCCCTTACTTCAAATCTCGACCCGCTTGTCTACCTCTTCCACAATAATCCAGCCGAGGCCATCTGCCAAAATCATCTCCAATCTTCAGACCTGCCAGAATCACAAGCTGATCGTCTGCATGGCTCGAAAATGGCATAACTACACCACGAAAAAGAACAAAGACGCCGTCCATATGGAGACCTACGGACCCAACCACGGCCAACAATCGGCTGAAACTCACAGAGCGGACAAGAGCCCAAGCAAAGCGCATTGCGTTTCTGCAGACCTGCCCCGTGTAGGACTTTGTGCGCCGATTGAAAGAAGCTCTCTTCGAGATTCAACAACGCGGCTCAACCCTTGATCCCAACATGAGGCTCAATTTCTTCATTCGCTCAATTCAGTACAACCCCAACCCTTCGTGCGGAATACAAGAAAGAGCTCGACAAATGCGATCAAGCCAATGCCCGTTCTTGCAACTTGCCCTTTAGCACCCTTCATCCAATCCCTGCGTCTCGGTATCATTCAAAGGCATTAGGGATCATAGCTTACATAGGTGCGCGAGCAGTATACGCATGGCTTGAAAAACAAAGAAGAAGAGGGCCTGCACGTTCTACCGGATCCCCTACTGGCTTGCAAATGAATCCAAGGCCCCGCAATTACTCGAGCAGGATCCAGAATATCGAAAAAAGCCATGGAAGCCTTGCGGCGATAGTCCATGGTCTTGCGGCAGAAAATAGAACACTGAAGGGGGAATTGGGCGAACAAGAGAAAATGATAGACTTCCGACGACCTAATGGCGTATGCCTCCGGACATCTCGCCTCTCTTAGCCTACCACAATACGATAGCACGGGCCGCCAAGCAGCACTCGCTCTTGTTGGCCTTACTCGTCAGATTCAAGAAGCAATCACGGACCGAAGATTCTCACACATCTTCGGTACGCAGACCCTCGCTTACTGGGCCAAAGATACTGTTGAAACCAATTATGCCGCTCTTCTCAGTCGACAGCGACGGCTCCAAAGTCATGCAAACCAGCGCATGGCTCATGAGCCCCATGAACAAGGCCCATCCCAGCCGAAGTGGCCAACGTTCGTTGGCAAGGTTGCATGGTCAGAGAGCCGCATATAGCTCCAAAGAGATATGCGGTTCTGGTTAGATGGTCCAGAGAGTGACGTTAATGCCGCCGTCTCCATCACCGTCACCGACAAGAGGATATTGGTGGAGAGCTGGGAAAGGCATGACAATCGGCCTGCGTCACCTAGCCAATGGACAGAAATTGTCCGTAAACCCCGTGCAGGCTACCCTCGGGATAAATGCATCGACAAATACCAGTGGGAAGAGAAAAGTTTCAGCCAACATGAGCGGGATCTGCTGGTCAAGCAATTCAATAATCCAAAAAGTGGTTTGGAAGTTCTCATTACCACATATGATGTCGGCTCCGTCGGCCTCAATCTGCATAAAGCCTGTAACTTTGTTATTCTCCCTGCGCCAGGCAGAAGCTGGAGCCAGGAAGCTCAGGCAGCGGGGGCGCGCGCTTCGGGTATGTCAAATGTCCTTTTTATCCACATCCTGCACTCCATGTGGTGCAACTCGGCTGCTCTGCACCCAGGTCTGTCTTAATTCATTTACCTCGTCGTCTTCTTCTGCGTCCGTTACCACCCGTGGTTTCCAGTCCCACGTTATTCAAACCTTCGAGATCCCAATGGCCCAACAGATCCCTATATGTAGGAAACATCCATCGCCAGGATGTTTCCGAGAACAACATCATCATAGCCGATCCCAAAAGACTGGCCAGGCCGGGATGCTGATCGAGAGGGATCTCGGTGATGCCACACGGATGGATAGGTAGTCTACGTGCAGTTGCCACGTAGTCTTGACCTCTCTTCTGTTTATTTTTTCAATCGCTCCAGGCATACAGTATAGAAGGAATAATGCCTCCATGGATGATTATCATAGTACTATGTACTAACCTGCTATTCTTCCAGGTTTATTTATTAGTCTACTTCTGTTTACATTATAAACAAATAAGTCGGGTATGGTATAAAAGAGCCAATATCTTGGTCTTGACTATGCATGCATGTAGTAGTATTCCTCGAGTCATCAAACAACATATAAAAGAACCAACGCAAGAGCTCTAAAGAGGTAAAAACACGCAGGACGGGATATCTATGAAACGACAACGGAAGAACAAAAAGATTCCTACGCTCAGAATCCACACATGCACTGATAATAGCTAAACGCTAGCACCTCAACGCTTCACGACCCCAATCCCAAGCCCCTCCTCAAGACGATCAAGCAGCGAATTCCTCGACTCGGCCGACGAAGCCGGCGACGGCGACCGGTTATGCTTAGCTCCCGCAGTCAAAACATCCGGTGGGACGTACTCATCCACGTCCAATTCCATGCCAACAGTCACATCCGCATCTGGAGGGAAATACTCGGGTGATAATCCACTCGTCACGATGCGAGCGGCATTGGCAGCGTGGACAGCGGCAGTGGCGGACTCGAACACTGGCCCGGAAGCAGAGTCAGATGCAGATGCAGATGCATTATTTGGCTCGGGAGCAGGAGCAGCAACACTCTTTTTCCGGAAGTTGTATCTTTCCTGTGCAGTCCGAGATCCAGGAAGAGGCGCGGGAGGATCAACTTCCCACTGAGCCCTTCTGTCTAGGGCCTTTTGTCTGCGGCGAATGGATTTCTCACTTTTTCCAATTCGAGCATGGGCGTGATTCTTCACTTCTGGTTCGATACTGGCGACGACTTGTTGGCTCGTTATATTATTGTAACTTGGTGTTGGAATCCCGTGTGTCTTTCGGTATTCTGCTTCGGCAGTGGCAGCTTCGGCGACGGCGGCGGCCTGTCTGGCCCTTTTGCGCGCCTTGCGGGACATTTTTATTTCCGCTTTCTGCTCTTCTGTTTTCTGTTCGGGTTGCTGTGTTAGCTTTATGACTGGCGGGTTGGTGGTTGCAGTACTGGCGGTTGCGGGTGTTGTCGCTGCAGTGTTCGGGGTTATAGTATTGGCGGCGTCCGCTTTCTCTCTTGCTTTCGCCTTCTTATTTTTCTTGGCTTTGGGCTTAGCAGTCGTAGGAGGAGGGACATCCTTGGCACCATCAAACGTCATGAGATCGCCATTAGAGTCGGCGTTTAACTGCTTTGGGAGGAGACTGATCCCGCCGTCCTCGTTGTCAACAGAATCCTCATGCAACCCAATATCCAATTCGAGAATACTGCCCTCGCCCTTGTCTACTCGCTCGTTCCAGATGCGGAGGACTTTGCTCACGTCGTCGTGGTGGGCGAGATAATCAAGGCGGGTGAGGACCTTAGCGAAGAGCTTCGTTTCGTCGATACTGGGATCATCGTTGAACTCCGGGATCTCGAGGATATTGAATGGCTCGCTGGAAGCCTTGAGCTTGCTGTCGTCGATGAGGATGGTGTTGGTCTGGTCCCAGCGGTGGCCTGCGGGAAGCTTTGCAGCCTCAGCATCGCGAAGCTTTTGCCTGCGGTTCTTGTGTGGTGCCTGTGCGCCTGGTGATGAGGCCGGGGGGTCTTGTAGATGCTCGTTGCCTGGGAATGCGCCTTGGATATCTGCCACCGCCCAGACTTTGTGCAGCTCCTTGTAGACTTGGAGCTTTTTGTTGTATTGGCCGGAGCTGAGGCCGAATTTGTCGCGTCCCCAGCGGGCGACGAGGGCGTCGTGCATGGGACCTGGGAAGATCTGCTCGCAGACGGCATTCACGGTCTGGGGTTGGGAGCTGGACCAGATCATGACTTTGTAGTTTTTGACTAGCATGGCTAGGAAGTGATCTAGACCAGTGCGTCTGGCGAATTTCGGCGGGAATTTGCGAAGCTTGCGGTAAATTAGGGTGCCATTCAGATCGAGGATAACGAGAAGTGGCCGCTTTTCGGTCTTCTCTGGTTTCAGTGATGCTTGATTTATGTATTGCAGTGTCGGAAGCGGGACTTTGACTGGCGGTGTTGGCGATCGTTGTCTTTGGCGCTCGGATGCGACCCGTTGGCCTGCGCCACCAGTCATCGTGCTCATGGGCCGGGTGTTTTGGAAGGGTAGTGGCAGTGGGGTATTCATATCGAAAGGGAGTAGAGGGAATGGGGGTGGGAATGGCAATGGCATCCCGCTATTAAAGCCAGGATACGTCCAGGGCATATTCTGTGCCGTTTGGACGAACGCTTGATCCATGGTCACTAGGTCTCGTGGCAACGTATTAAAAGCGCTAAATTGTTGTTGGCCTTCCCCCAAAGGCATTTGTGGTTGGTGCTGTTGCATGGCAGGAGCGTGGCCCTGAGGTTGATAGGCGTGTAGCGTTTGATTGATCTGTGGAATCTGAGACCCAAAATTCGAATTCATAGCCAGCGTAGGAGTGTACTGCGACGGTGGAGGATTGCCTTGCACAGGATAGTCCCCATATGCCACACTCTGATGTGTATCCCGATGGGGCGCATTGCGGTCCCAAGAGTCATGTGAGGGAGCCGGCCGGCTGGCCCCCCGTCCATTCTGCATTGGCGCAGAGTTCATGTTCACCGCATAATAGGCTGAATCGGCATACTGGGGAATCGAACTCGACTGGTGTTCGAGATCCGCGACGTTAGACGCACGCTTCGGTCTTTTGCTTGCGTGAGACAGTTTAAAGAACGTGGGACGTGACGAGAGTAAGGTGGAGAATCTCAGTCGGGATTTTAGAACGCCAGGACCCGACACAGCTAGAAGCTATTTAAAAGCAAGTCAGAATAAATCAACAATTGGCGAACATGCTATCCACGTAGCGAATGGTGGAGGCAATACCCGATTGGCTGCTCTGGGAAGAGGCTGAGAATGAGGCGATGAAGAATTTATGAGTGGTAAATGAGGAAAGGCTCGACCTTGCAGAAAATGCAGGGACATTTATAAAACAGAACAACAAACGCAAATTGGCTAAGAACGTTCTTCGCGACATCAGGAATCGCGAAAAATATCTAATCAGTTCTTATCGTGCTGACCGCCCGGAGCGGCAATATTTTTATTTTCGACAGTTCTTCTTCGCGGGGTCTTCTAACTACAGCAACAACAAAATGGCTATTTCCGATTTGCTTAACCGCCGAGTGCGAGCTCGACCAGAAGATGATGACCAGGTCTACTCTGAGGCGTCAGGTTCCGACGAAGGCTCGCAGGATGGCTCTGATGCCGAATCCAACGGCTCCATTCATTCAGTAAGCCAACCATACATTTACTTTAGAATTAAAGCTAACCAACAATCCAGCAGGCAGATGACTCCGACGCCGAAGGCACAGGCACAGGCTCGGAGTCCGAAGCCAGCAATTCCGACATAGAAGAAGAGCCTGAATCCGAGCACGACGACGGCGAGGACTTCAAAGCCTCCCTAGCAGACATTTCCTTCGGCGCACTGGCCAAAGCACAAGCATCCATGCGCGAGAAAAACCGCAAAGACAAGCGGACGCCGAAAGACGACTCCGCAGCCTCAACGCTAGACGACATCCGCACGAAGCTGCGCGAAGCACGCGAACAAAAGCTCGAAGCCGCCGCCAAATCCAAATCCAAAGAAAAGAAGAGCAGATCATCCAAGCACGCGCCCATGGAACTATCGTCCAAACGAGCCGTGACGCGCAAGCGCACAGCAGTCGAACTCCCGCCCGCGCCCAGGTCCAGGGACCCGCGCTTCGATGCGGCTGTCATGGGTCACAGTGGGGTTGGAAAGCACCCGCATGGTGGGAAGGCGTATGCGTTCCTGGACGAGTACCGGGCGTCCGAGCTTAATGATCTGAAGGATCAAATGAGGAAGACGAAGAATCTTCAGCAGAAGGAGAAGCTTAAGGGAGAGATCCGGCGGATGCAGGATAAGCTACGGTCGGCGCAGAATAAGAAGCGCGAGGCGGAGGTGCAGGCTGAGCATAAGAAGCGTGAGAAGCAGTTAATTCGGGATGGCAAGAAGGCTAGTCCGTACTATCTCAAGAACTCGGAGTTGCAGAACAAGGTTCGTGAACGGAAGTATGAGGAGATGGGATCACGGGAGCGTGCAAAGGCGCTTGAGAGGAGGCGCAGGAAGATGGCCTCCAAGGAGCGGAAGGAGATGCCCTGGGAGAGGAGGGGCGCGGAGGCAGGTGGTGAGGATGGGGGCATGCCTAACGGAGGAAAGAGGCGGAGGTTGGAGTAGACCTTTTGGTCTTTATTGGGTTACGGCGTTGATGTATCTGGGAATGAAAAGCAATAGTATTATGCATATGAATATTGAATGTCTGGTTACATGTCCACGGGTATATGTTGCGAAGTGCATTAGGATTACCAGTCTTAGGGTGGAGGACCAATATGGCAGCAATAGCAAGACATTGCAAAGAGAAGAAAAGAAGGCATTCGAAACAGGCCAATAAGAGGCAGAGAACCCATTGCCATAATGCTTTATCTCCCAAAAATAAGTCCAAAAGGTATAATACGAAGCATGGAACCCCCAACGCCCAAAGCAAACTTGATGCAGAAAAGAACCCGAACACAAAATTTTTACAGGGTGCGAAGGTGCCCTGTCGGTACTGTCGTAGCATAGATAACATGATATTGATGCAAGCATCATTGATATGGGAAGGGTTTCCCGACTCGATCGTCCAGGATGAGTCAGGGGATAGTGGAAATTCACAGTTGCCCAGACATTGAATCGTTTGGGTTGGACTTGCCAGTATAACCAAATGAGTGTCTGGGACTTCATAGCATCATAGTGAGGTCTTTGCATTCCAAGGCAGCAAAGTCCACAGATGTGATAATATATAAGACGGTAGCATTGGGGATGATCTGTTGGGTCGGGCATTTTCCACCAAGTTCAAGCAAATTTCATCATTACTTGAAACTCGCGAAGCAGAGTCAACCCTAGGCCTCTGCAAGAGGCATTGCTTCTGAGTCTAACTGAGCAATGTCGTATCACGAGTGGAACAGATCCCAAGCCCGTGCACAGAGACCCAGGAATTCGTCCTTCTTTCTCCGCTGCGTCTCGGGCGAGTCTCTTCCCTCACCAAAAGGTCCAGGGAACGAAGCATGCGGACCGGGCATGGTAGCCGGGTTGGGCCGGTATTGAGAGTCGGGGCCATGGCCCAGGGGCGGACTTCCGTTGTCGCGTTCATACTCGCTCCGAGGACGCCGACGTGCCGTAACATCAGACGAGACGAACATACCAAAGGAGGCAGGAGGCGGACCATGGGGCGCTTGGGGTTCTGGGGCAAGAGGCGCAGTCTTGGGGCCGGCATGAAGTATTTGTGGGGATGGCGGAGTGGGAGGTTGGTGGCCTCCATAGTGGACAATGCGAGGCAGCAGCTCCTCTCGTCCACCGGACATCTCTTGCACGGCCTCTTCGGCTGAGTGATATTCGCGCGGTCGGTTGGGGGTGTGGGCCACGCTACCCGGAAGACCGGGGGAGGGCATCGGCGCCAAGTTATTGGATTGGGAGGAGTTGGTGCTCGACGCATGCAGGTGCATATTAGAGAGGCCAGATTCCCGGTCACGACCCAATGCATCGGAGCCGAAGACATCGGAGAGGGGAGGGAGACGATTGTTTGTTTGGGTTGCCGGCAGCTGATGCATGTGGGAGGTCGAGCCCAAGGTCGGGCTCTGGTTGACAACATGACGGGTCAATGGCTGTGGCTGGTGCCTACCAGTGAAAGTCTGGTGTAGCGGAGCGGATTGGATGACTCGCTCGTTCGCGAACTGGGAGGCGGATGGAGGGACGATGGATAGACCAGCCGGAGGTCTGCGCTTTGATGCGGTCTTGGGCATACCCATCAAATTCGACTCGGAAGGCCTAACACCGTCCGGACCATCATCCTTGGCTGATCTCTGCATGCGCTGTTCAATGATTGACCGCTGCTGGTCCCGCACAGACAGGCTGCGCTGCAGCTGCTCTCGCATGACCGGATCGTGGGTCTGGAAGCCAGGCGACAGGCACGCCAGGCCGACATGTTGCATTGAGGCTGTCAAAGGTCCCCCCGCAGGGCGAACCGACAAGCCACTGGAGGATGGAAGACTAGTCGAAAGGTCCAATTTCCGAGGCCGGGGCCGACTCTGCATCCGTGGGGAGGACCCCGGTTCCTTCTTTACAGTAATCTGTGGGCCTCCGCTACCACCTTGGGATCTGAGAATAATGTCAACATGTCAAGCTCCGATTTCATGATGAGTCTCTCGACTTACGGAGATGCTGGACCTCTCTTCTCGGTCGGGGAACCGTGTACCCCGGATCCATTCTTGGGACTTTTGGACATCCGGGGCGGAGAGAAATTGGACGGGTTATTATTCGGAGCCAAAGACGGGAGGTTTCTCGGGCTGGGGTTGCGAGTAGGGTGTGGTGATGACAAGGGGGCCGCTACAGATGCGACAGCGGTGGACATGGTCGACGGAGACGATTCGAGTTCCTCTAGGGTATCACGACGCAAGTGATGTAAGAACAAAGTACTTCACAGTGTATTAACTTGATAAATCTCCTTGAGATGCAAGGGCATCTGGAGTCGATGCGGGCAAGGTCCGGGAAAGAGGATCGAAACGTGGGATCGGCCTCGATATATTCAAGAGAGTACCAGAGAATCTCCCACACGGAGGTGGAGAAGGGCGGTTAGGCGTCAGGCGGCAGTGTGACAGAGTCCAGAGTTACAAGCGAGAGAAATGGACGATAAATGGAGAAAATCTGAAGGAGGGGGGGTTCAGCAGTCTGGGCCCTGTAAAGGAAAAAAAAGAAGGATGAGATCGCCCCAAGCTATCCAGGGGGAAAGAGTTAAAAAAGGTAAATACGGAGGTAAGAAGGTAAAGTACTCAGTACGGTAATCTCAAGAAGTCCAAAGAGGGGAAGGAGGCATCAGCGGTCACCCCAGCTAAGTACCAGATACCCGACCTCCCCCGGTGGACCCAACTGAGACACGATGTGTTTCTGGGAGATGTTCCAGATCCACCGTTCATTTTATTTATAAATATTTTTATGTTTACTAGAGTACGGAGTACATATATTTAGTAGCTATAAAGTAGTGTGACTAGTTAGTTAGAGAATTATATTATCTTTTATATAAATCTCCGTACTATTAACTCTTCATTCAATAGTTCTGACCACAATCATCTACTTTTACTTCTATAATTCGTTGAAATTGTGGATCCTTTTCTCTAACATTAGTATAACAAAATAATACTAGCACCTCCTGATATCCACATTTATCGAATCATATCCCCCAAACACAATCTCGGCACACAAAGAAAAATGAAAAAACAAGTCACATCACCTCCATCCACTCGTACGGCGTTATATGTCAAACAAGGCGCAGCGGGCGCTTATATCAAAAGGGGCCACTAGTACAGAGGATGTGGCGTCCACAAACAAGTCACCAACACCTGTCCTATGCGAGTACAACACCCTAAACACCACTGAAACTGAAACTGAAGACCTAAAAGAAAAAGTTCATCCAGTTTAGATGTTGCTCGCGGCTTACCCTATTTCGATAATCACTATTCTATATAGAGTAATACACTAACACCATCCAATAAGCCCTGGTCTGCCACTGAAATTAGAACCCACTCGATTGGCCTCCTGTCACGGCCCTTCAAAGGTGTAAATGCACAGACCAGGGGTGCGTGCCTTTGCATATCATCTGTGCAGTTCTTAAATAGGTGTTGCCGAGATGTCTACAAAAGTACCGTGGACCCATCCATGGATGGGTGGGAGAGATGAAAAGATGACAAATGGCTTATATTTCCAACCTTGGAAAGATCCACCTGAATCCTTTCAGTCCATACAACATATGAAACCCAACATTACCTTTGTTTCATCTCTTACGCAGTACTCCGGCACTGACATTCGAGCTTTTCACCTAAGTCAGGCAGGATATTATTAATCTATCTGAGAGGAATAACTATCCGTATGACTTTGAAACTACCGGTGAGCATGTATTTTATCAAACCTGTTACTCCATACTGCAGGTAGAGTAGAGAATGAATCATTCATAACCCCGCATTCAAGGTGTATATTCTCGCATATGAAGAAGCTCTACAGAACATACTTGCAGCATGTTCGCAACATTATTATGCGCATGTATGTAGTAGTGGACTGGCGAATGGATGGTTGACATAGGCTGTAGTGATCCGCCATACTTCGAGAACATAGGTCGGGGGACCTTTTCAACACATAAAAATACACGGATAACATTTTCATACAAATCCAATATATCCAAATGCTTCTAGAAAGAATCACCACTCCCTTTATCTTCACAAAAGACAATATCTCAACAATACAATCTTATAGATGACAAAAATGGTAGGCGGTGAGAACCGACTATCGATAACCCACCTTTTTTCTTCGCGATAATCTTCAACTTGGAGATCCAGATCGCGCAAATTTCTTAGGCTAAAAGTCTGACCTTCTAAGCCAAACCACAGCAAAGACATTAACCTGCTGTCTTGCAAATCCTCATCCAACTATCAACCCTCACATCCCAACTCCCGCATCCAATCGAACAGCTCGACAAAGCGTCGAACTGTTAGATCAAACCTACATACCTCACACCCCTCACCAACTCCAACACAATGCCTGGATCTGTTCACTCCCAAGATCTGGACCAGTCCATGGTCGATGCAGAGCAGCCTGTCGAGCCCCAGTCCAACGACCCAATCCTTGAGGAGAGACAAATTGTCGTCGTACGTATCTGATCTGCCCGGGATATCCGAATTGATCTCACAATGATATCTGGATATGTCTAAAAACACAAAAGCTAACACTATACCTTATCACAGCTCCCTGGCGCCACCGAAACTGCCGCTTCATTCCAGTTCGAAGGCGAAGGCCACACCATGGGCAATGCGCTGCGGTACGCAATCATGAAGAAGTGAGTGTGGCCTGTGATTGCGAGACTAGATTCGGGTTTGTACCGGATGTTTTTTTTCGCAAACATTGAAACTCTCGATCTGGTCCGGAGAGAGCATCACTGACTTATTGAATAGCCCTGCCGTTGAGTTCTGCGGTTACACCATTCCCCACCCCTCGGATCCGAAGATGAACGTCCGTATCCAGACTAACGGTATGTCCCGCTACTTTCTTGTTGTCCGGAATGGTAGGATGTTTACTGACTGCTTGGCTTTAGATACTACTACTGCTCTCGAGGCTCTGGAGAAGGGGTTCAATGATTTGATGGACCTGTGCGATGTCGTAACGGAGAAGTTCACTGCTTCGCGTGATCAATTCAATGCGGAGAGTGGTAACCGTATGGAGGCATGAGGTGTTTATTTGCATATGTATTATTTAATTGGCGTTCTGGGTAGAGGGAAAAGTACATTTTCTATCTCGGACATGAGAAATGCTTACTTTTGGTTTCTTTGGTAGATATATTTAGAAGAAATACTTGATGAAAATAGAGTTATTCGTGCGATGCATTCTACGAAACCAATGTTGCCAGGAAGTTTGTACTGTCATAGGATCAGCACCAAGTCTCGAAGCTAGGCGTATGCAGAAAATAGGTAGGAAGGAAGTAAGATAATGGAATGGCTTATTCAGACAATATATACACATCATGTCTATCGATGGCGCAGTTCCTTTAACTGCCACATCGCGGACCAGAAACGAGATGAAGAGGGAGAGAGAAGAAACAGAAAGAGAGCTTTAATTGCGACCCTCGAGGAAACCAGACACGAAGTTACGGGGTAGCCGCGCGCCAGGGTCTTCTTCTGGGCGGAAGTACTTCATAACATGAGAAAGCTGCTTCCAGTAGTTAAGGGTCTCCTGCATTGGAATGATGTCAGTATTGACCCTGGAATTGCGTGGTGATTACAATAGTGGACAATCAAATAAAGACGAAACAGAAGAAGCATTTGCTTCCCACAATTGTCTTCTTGAAAGATTCCACATGCCGAATAGGCATATCATATATCCCCGAACAGAAAGGGTAGACCTGGACTAACCTGGAACTCGGCATGGCTCTGGTACAACAGCACGTCCACAACGGGCAATTGGCTGACATAGCGGTGCTTCTCGAACTCCTGGCGGATCTTCGTGCGGATGGCGGATACGGGCATGCCCAGGGAGTACATGGTCTGGATTTCCGGGGACTGTATTTGGTGATATCACGTTAGCTAAGTCCGTTGCGGGATCAAATTGTAGCTTTTTAGGCGAGAGAAAAAGAGCCACTAATCAACCCGCTCATGCGATATCCGCCTGGAACGGAGGAAAAGAGCGTATCAAGGGAGGTGTATCGGTGTGGGATCTCGGGGCAAACTGACCGCGCGGAGCCATTCGCGGTACGACTTCAGGACTCGGTATTTCGCATCGCCCCAGTTGACAGCTAGAGGAGGAACAGGCATATTAGCACCTTTTCGCGGGGGGGATAGACTCCATTGACGATCCCGCCGGGTGGACGGCGGAACGCATCGGACGTGGAAGGAACGTACAGGAGCGCGTGCGCTGCGCCAGGTAGGTAGGGTTGATAGTCATTTTGGAGGAGAGTTGAGTGCACACTCAATCCAGCGCGGTTCAATCACTGGGTGCAGAAAGACGGCAGAGAATTGAATGTGGGTTCCTGAGCTATGAGGGTGGAGGTTTCGATCTGAGGTTGGTGGTGGAATGGGCCGGACTCACCGCCTGCCTTTTCAAAAAAAATCTTTTGCGAATTTGGGGATTATCGGACCGTCTGCGCTAGGTTTCTCTGCTCTGTGTTTTTCCCCGTCGAATATTTTTCGATATCTCTGATTCTGTCGGAGGGCTATTCGATTCTTCTTGGGTTGTTGAAGTAATTCCAACTCATTTCTCGCCACCCTATCATTCTTTGCATTCCCACTCTCAGTTCGCCTCGTTTCAACTCAATCACCCGTTCAATTACTCAAGCGCTACAAAATGGCTCCTAACGTTGGAGGAGCAAAGGGAGGCGCAAAGGGAGCTGCGAAGGGAGGCAAGTCTACCAACCTGTCGTCTGCCTCGCGCGTCAGCAAATCGGCCAAGAAAGATGGTCCCAAGCGTCCCCCGCCTAAGGAACAGAAGACCAAGCCCCGGACTGCCAACGAAAACTTGAAGAAAAAGAAGAAGAGAGTATACACCGAGAAGGAGCTGGATTTGCCCGAATTGAACCAAATCACACCTGTCGGAGTGATCAAGCCCAAGGGCAAGAAGAAGGGCAAGACTTTTGTCGATGATGCGGTATGCTTTGCCTCACATGCTCTGTTCTCTTGATTGCACCTCTATAGAAGCCTGGTACTAATGTTATGATTTGCAGGAGGGCATGATGACAATTCTCGCAATGGTGAACGCCGAAAAGGAAGGCCAGATCGAATCAAAGATGATGAAGGCACGTCAATTAGAAGAGATCCGCGAGGCAAAGAAGGCCGAGGCCGAGGCACGCATGAAGGAAAGGAAGAACAAGTTCGATGACGTGAAGGATTCCATCCGTCAAAAGAAGAAGGGCAAGGGTGGTGACAAGGCCGCGGAGCCCACGAGTATCAAGGATAGTATCTCGAAGCCCGGGCGATCAAAGAAGAAGACCGTTGCATTTGCTTGAAAAAAAAGGGCCTGAATATTTGTGTCTATACTTTGATTATGTATTTAGATGTCGGGGTTCGGCGTTTTCACCGGTTTATCAATCTATGTCTATCGGAACAGAAACATCATTTTGCCAAATCAAAAACACCGACAATGATTCCCCCATTGTAAACCATGAATGACCTGTCGCTTTCGAAAATGGTGATTTGTAGCACTCGGTTGAGAGGGCGGAACGTTTGAGGGGCTAATTACAGCCCTAAAGGTAGTGCGAGTTTGCGTCGCATCGAGACGAATTCAGGCTTAGGTGCCATGTCGGGCTCTTTGTTGGCACCACTGTGACTGGCAATTTTTCCAGGGAGTCTTTCAGGGTGTTCGACAACACCAGGGATATCAGTGTCGATTTCCTTTGCCATCTTGTTCAAGAAGTTTGTCACCTGAAGGAATGGTTTAGTATGAAGTTCATTTTCGATGCCAATGGTCAATTTCGAGTCACATACCGGCTTGACAAACCACCTAGAACCTCCAAGCTCGAACCAGCCTAGATGGCCACCCCACGATGTAGTCAACATGACTCCATATGGCGTTTGGGTCATTTCCTGGTAGGGCAGAGCCTCTTGGCAAGCAATCTAGTGAAGTCAGCAACGCGTTCACGGTTGTGGAAGGCTTTCATAACTTACAGGATCATCCTCTGCTTGAATGCTAAGGAACGGAATCCTGATAGCGAGCATGGAATCGGTGGAAGTGGCATCACGGTAATACGCTCCTTCGGTGGGGTAGCCCCAGGTCGGGCATTGTAAAGCTCTATTGCATGTTAGAATCGTGTTCATTTTGATATGCAGAGCGAATTCTTCTTACCGGTCGAACTCATGGAGGTAGGTAATGTTTCTTATCGCATCAACGTCGATGCGAGGGTTTTTGGAGACTTGATCAACATGTCTGTGTTCCATATGGTTAGTTAACCTTAAACACATCAACCAAATAGACAGGTACTCACGCCTCAAAGAGCTTCTTCATACTTGTCCCCATGGTTCTGCTGTATACCTCCTTGCCAATCCAGGTGCTTTGCAAAACCATAGAACTAACATCCAAGTTCCACGGGCTAGCACAAATCACGGCTGCCTTCAACTGACAGGCCTCACCTTCCTCTCCCAGATACTATACAATTTGTTAGTGGGGAGTGTAGACGTCAGCTTTGCAGGGGACCATACATTAGTGAGGATGTTGGCACCGAGCGAGAAGCCAATTCCAAAAAGAGGGCGATTGGGGAACTGCGCCCTGAGCCACTTGACAGCCTGGCGAACGTCCCAGGTAGCTCGGGCGTTGTAGAGGACACCGGTACTGATGCTTGTCTCCGCACATCCTCTCGAATTAACAACACATGCTTCCCACGCGCCATCTTTCACGAGCGGTGCCAGGACTTCCCGCAAGTATATTTCATGGGAACCACCACTCAGACCGTGAAGAAGTATAAGCATGGGCTTGGTGTCATCTGAGGGCAACGCAGCAAACTCATCCTGAGAGAAAAACGATGTGCGTGACGGCATACCAGACTTCTGAGTATACTTTCTCGCTTGATCAGTAAGCTCCGGGTCTTGAGGAATATCGTACGGTGCGACCACAAAATCCATGGCATAATGGCCCGTGAATGCGGGGCTATCCGACTCGAACATTTTGCGTTTGTAGTAAACGGGAACGTTGTCCTGTTTCAAAGCGGTCCAGCAGGTCTGCAGGTGCCCATTGAACAAGAAAGGGTTTAGGTTGCATGCCTCTGGTGTTGCAGACCGGCAGACATCCACGAACGTGGTTTGTTCCTTAGCACCTGCGGCGCCGGAAACTTTGGTCAATGTCAACTTATTGTCCTTGGCGTGATGGAAAGCTATGCGGCCCTTAGGACGAAGCCATGAAATCAAACCCATGGCGATCAGCCCGGATAAGAGGACTGATAGAGGAAACGAATTCAGAAGTGTTGGGATGAGGTCGAGCATGAGGGGTATCTAGAGAATGCTGAAATTGACTAAAGGGACAAATCGATATCCCAGCGAAAGTCGGTCAATTTCTATACGCAGAAATAAAAACTGGCTAGAAAAGCATGCAAAAATCCAAAATAGGTGATCCAAGGATCCACGCCAACGCTGTATCAGATTTGGACCTCGGCAAAAAAGGTTATGTTTAGATTTTCCAAGGCACTGGGCCATATTATTCTACGTGGACCCATGGTCCAGTGTATAAGCCCATTTTATCCCACTTCACGTGATGCATATAAGTTATGCACATTATGTCAGGTGATCTGAGCCTCAAGTGCTTAGTCGTCATTGATGGGGGCCGGGGCCACGTGCACGGGCACACCTGATAGCATGCGGGTGCTTTTTTTTTATCATACGCCAGCAGTCAGTTGATGGTGTCATAGCGCGTACAAGGCCTGAGCTCAGGTTCGTGCAGGAAACACTCCGTATCTAGTGCAGTTAGGAGAAGTTGGGGGCATTCTGCCGAATATGAAGTGATGATGATATGATGCTCAATGCGGCAATCTGCTTTCCGCATGCGGAAGCCCTAAATTCATTCCGGCGTGAAGCACAGGGAGAAATCCCCATGTCTTCCGACCATAGCAAAATCCTTCTTAAAACTGATCAAGATAAATGTAGGGTGAAAATGTTGAAATATCCGGTGCTCTGCATATGGATCACCAGACAAAGAACGGGCTGGGCCAACGATCAGTTCCTCATTCTTCTTTATATGTAATGCTGATAGCATTAACACCCATCTTTTGTGACCCAGTCCCATGGTCCGTTTCCGGGAATCTTTATCTTCCAGAAGACTATTTCAAGGTCAAAGGATCCATACCTTCTCTCTTTTTCCTTTGAAGGTGATGCAGCACTGTTCGTCACACGATGCGTTTGATCTCTACTACAACATGATAGTAACTGTCGAAACGCCACTAGCCAGCTTGTTGATTCACAAATCTTTCATGAGGCCTGGTCACCAACATCTTTGAACGACCTTTGATTCAAGTACCCATGACTTTAATAATAAGAAAGTCCCCGTCCGACATGTCCGATCGTGTATACCGCGCCACAGAAAAGTTTAAGACCATGATCAAAATGAGAACCTGGTCCCCGAAACGAGCGAAGAAGCAACAGGAGGATGGCCACGGCCGTTGCTACCTAATGGAATTACCCACCGAGCTGTTGTTGGAAATCATATCCCATCTGACAGTGCTACCGGAGGCCGCACTTGCGCTAACCAACAAGCGCATGTTCGCAATCTCCGGAGAGATCCTGCTCTCGAAATCCCTCCGATTCAGTCGGGATTTTGCGCCGCTTTTCCACCATTACCGCAATGGACACAACTTCGTCACACCACGTTGGTCATTCCTCAACTTGTTGGAAAATTCCCGCTGGAAACTATGCTCGAAGTGTTTGAAACTCCACCCTCGGGCCGCATTCTCATCCAGAGAGCTGAGGCGGAAGCCAGAGAGTCGAACATGCAATGTTGGGGAGTTAGCAGGGGTTGTCGACCTGTGCCCATGCAAGAAATTAACTTTCCGCGACAAACTTGACCTCGCGGATCATGTTCATCTGCGACAGGTGACCCTGCAACACTTGAAATCAAAATTCGGGAACGCTGTTGATGACCGCTACTGCTGGCATGCATGCACCGAGCAGTATGGCCCAACCGAGCTGAAGACATCTTTGTTCCCAGAAATCAATGCCGACAACCAGCTAGTTCTTCGCACAGAATACCAACTCACCACTGAGTCGGGCAAAGTTGGCAAGGAAGACTATATGACACCACGCTTCGGGTGTGCACATCGATCGGTCGACCTGTGGCTCTCGAGCGTTCATCAAACCACTATATGCCGCCTCTTCGACTCTTTCTGCTCGTCATGCAAGCGTATATCGGTTTGCAGTGCGTGTGACACCACGTTGACATGTCCACGAAAAGCACCATTCCATTCTGAAAAA